GCCCCACACACATCTATTCTATTATACCCACTACTGCCTACATTACCTATTTACCACCTACTATACCACGTACTTCTACCCACCTCTACCTATCTACAACCTACCATTCCTTTACCACTATTCAGGATTTGAATTAAAGGACAGACAGGAAGGACAGACATACAATAGAACATGCGCCTACCACCACGATTATGCTGGGCCCTCACGGGTCTCCAGCTCTTGGCCTCCACAGTCCTAGGTACCACCACCAACTCCCTCCAACCGCCCGCGGAAACTAATAATACCCCAATCTAGGCCATTCGCAACACCGAAATCCCGTAACCTACATCACCTACATCGACAACGCCGAGATCCAGACGCCCTCGCAGCGCATCCAGTCGCACAGCTCCTTCACACTAACCTTCCAGCTGCACGCCGGCGAGCAAGACGTCAAGTTCACCCTCGCCCCCAACCACGACATCCTCTCATCCAACGCCCAGGTCGAGTACCACAACGCCGACGGCACCGTCCGCCACACCGAACCCATCCTCGCGCGCGACTACAAGGTCTACAAGGGCGACTCGTGGCTCCGCGATGTTGACGGCTGGTACCACAGCGGCTGGGCGCGCATCATGGTCCGCCGCGACGGCGAGTCCCCGCTGTTTGAGGGCGCATTCACACTCGGCCACGACGCGCACCATATACAGCTCGCGGAGAGCTACCTGCAGACGCGGCATGCGCTGGATCCGGAGATTGAGGTGGAGGACGGGCGCGATGCGGCGGAGCGCATGGTGGTGTTTAGGGACTCGGATGTGCAGAGCGGGTTTCAGTTCCAGGGCTTGGCGGGCCGTGATGTGGAGGGGATTGTGGGCCGAGGGTATGGCGTGGGGGACGGGGAGCTGGATGTAATGTGTCCGTCGGATCGCCTGGGGTTTAATGTGCAGCCGGGAAACCCGATTAATAAGATGATTCTCGACCCAATTCCGAGGGCCGGATGGGGCGGGTTTGGGCTGGAGAGCATGTTTAGGGGCGGGCTGACGAAGCGGCAGAGCGTGGATGGCGGGGATGGATATTATGGTGGCTCGGGGAATTCTGCGGGGGTCAATCTGAGGACCACTATTGGAAGCACGGATGGGTGTCCTACGACTCGGCAGGTGGCACTGATCGGCGTCGCCACCGATTGTACTTACACAGCGGAGTTTTCGACCACCGAGCTGGCTAGGGCCAATATCATTTCGCAGATCAACTCGGCGTGAGTTTTTTTCTTTTTTCTTTTTTTAGTTATTTTTTATCTTCTTGGCGGGCAGGGTTTGGTTTTTGGGGGGTGTCAATGACTGACTTGCAGGTAGTTCGGATTTGTTCGAGAGGACGTTCAACATTACGCTTGGTCTCTCTACGCTCGTCATTACGGACGCAAACTGCCCGGGCACGGCGCCGTCGACAGCAGAATGGAATGTTCCCTGCTCCAACAACATCACAATCGAGGACCGACTGAACCTCTTCTCGGCCTGGCGCGGAACCCGCTCCGACTCGAATGCGCTGTGGACGCTTCTGACCACTTGCGAGACTGGAGCGTCTGTGGGTTTGGCTTGGCTTGGGCAGCTGTGTGTTATGGATGCGCAGACGCAGGACACATCGACCGTTAGTGGGGCCAATGTTATTGCAAGGACGTCGACCGAGTGGAAGGTTATTGCCCATGAGATTGGACATACTATGGGCGCGGTGCACGATTGTACCAGCACCACATGCGCAGCGAGTAGTACGGTATCGGCGTCGCAGTGCTGCCCGTTGAGTTCCACCACCTGCGATGCTGGTGGGAAATATCTGATGAATCCGTCAACGAGTGACCAGATTGAGCAGTTTAGTCCGTACGTATATATATATATATATGCATCATTTGAGGGCATTATGATTGCTTACAAGTCTTATTAGTTGCTCGGTGGGTAATATATGTTCGGCCTTCAAACGCCGTAGTGTCAACACGACCTGTCTGACGTCCAACAAAGACGTCCAGATCATCACCGAGAACGAGTGCGGTAATGGGATTGTTGAGGCTGGCGAGGACTGCGATTGTGGTGGTACTGACGGCTGCGGGAACAATTCCTGCTGTAACCCTACCACCTGCAAGTTTGTCGATACTGCTGTGTGCGAGTATGTTCCCCGCTCACCGGATATCTACATGGCGTGTTTTTGCTGACCACCCCCACAGTGACGCCAACGAAGACTGCTGCCGTGGATGCCAATTTGCCTCCGCGAACACCATCTGCCGCGCCAGTAACGGCCCTTGCGACCCCGCCGAGACATGCTCCGGAAACGCCTCCACCTGCCCCACCGACGTTATCGCCAACGACGGCACGGACTGTGGCACCAATCTCAGATGCGCCAGCGGCCAATGCACTTCTCGCGACCAGCAGTGCCAGACAATCATGGGCCAGTACTCCAACGCCAACGACACCTCATCCTGCGACAACACCAACTGCCAACTTACCTGCTCCTCGCCCGAATTCGGCGCCAACACCTGTTTCGGCATGCAGCAGAACTTCCTCGACGGCACGCCCTGCGCCGGCGACGGCACATGCAAGAACGGTGTATGCACGGGGGCCAGCGCACTCGGCGAGGTGCGCAGCTGGATCAACAGGAATAGGAACGTGGTTATCGGCGTTGGGAGTGCCATCGGTGCCGTCATTCTCTTGTCGCTGCTCAGCTGCTGCTACTCAAGGTGTAGAAGGAGGCCGCAGAAGAAGATACCGGCACAGGGAGGGTTCGTGCCCGCGCATGATCCGAGGTGGAGGCAGCAGCAGCCACAGCTGTATCCGATGCCACCGCCGCCAGTGGGTCGTAGACCAAGTAATAATAGGAGCCGCAGTAGCAATAGGAGTGGGGCTAGTAATAGAGGGTATCCCGGGGGGCCGCAGGGACCGCAGGGACAGCAGGGACAGCAGGGACAAGGGATCCCGCCGGTGCCGCCGCCGAGTTATACTCAGGGGCAGAGTGTGAGGTATGCATAGAGAGAGATAATGCAGTTGTGTTTTGTGCTCTCTGTACTCTTTTTTTTGCTTTTTTTGTTGTGTGTTTTAATGGGGGGCTGCGCGGATGCGCCTACTTGTCGGACTTTTTTAACTACTTTGCTATACTTGCTACCTTGGTTTCTCCTTGCTTTTTGTATATCGGATCGGGCTTGGCTTTTTGGGGGGGGTTCTTCGCTTTCCTATGTATCATCTATTTAGTCCCTCTTCATTTGGGCGGGAGTGGAGTAGGAGAATGGGTAGGGGAATGGGATACCATCTATTTTTTCGTTATCTTTATTATACTCGCGGCGGAGCGGAGGAGCGGAAGGGGGGCTTTCTTACTTTTTTTTTTTGCTTTCTTTTTTAGTATATATTTCTAGGGCTGAGAATCACTGGGTATCTTTTTTTTCTTTCTTTTTTCTTTTCTTTTTCTTTGTTTTTTTGTGGAAAGGACAAGGCAGGGAGGGAGCGGAGGGACTTTACGAATTTCCTTTTTGGGCTACTGGATGGGTGGACCTTTTTTCTTTTTTCTTTTTCGTTTTTTTTTTTTTTTTTTCCTTTTGCTGCTAGCTGCTAAAAGATGGATGGAGGATAGGATAGGAAGGGGAGGGCAGATATAAATACCACTGTACATGTATGTACCTGAGTAACTACTAGTATGTTAGGTTGGCGGGCCGGAATAGATTTGGGTGTGTGGTTTCTGGGACTTGTGTTTCGTGGTGTGCTTTTTGGTGATGTGCTTGTGCCGGTGATGGTGATGGTGTGTGATTGTGTGTGTGAGGGTGAGGGGGGGTGAGGATGGGGATAGGGAGGGTGATGGTGTGTGATTGTGTGTGCGAGGGTGAGAGGGGGTGAGGATGGGGATAGGGAGGGTGATGGGTGGAGAGGCAGAGGGGCAGAGGGGCAGAGGGGCAGAGGGCACGTCATAGTGGGTCCGCAGTACATAAGGGAACGGTATATAACCCCACTACACATGGCTCCCTCCCCCTGAGAGGTTCAGTGCAAATCCTATGACCAGACGACCAGACAAGAGACCACTCATCCCAAATGACACGGCCCCGCCAGCTAGACAGGCCATAACTACGGACGGGACCTAGCTAGGACCTAGCTTATAAGGCTGCACTACATGCCTACAGTCCGGCACATGAGCGGAGAGGGTGGTATAAGCCCTCCTCACCACCGCACATACTGGCCCAATGCCAAAAGCAGTGTGGTGGCCCCGTCTCAGATTATCTCGCCAGTAGTACCTTCAGAACCATCCAACCGACCGACCGGGTCTTGAGTCATGGATGGCTTTTAGGAAGGGCATTTGTAATCCCCATCCTATGTCACGGAGTTGGGTGGCGGTGGGTATCTGGCTAATTAACCCTTGGTTTAATTGTACCCAGAAACCGGTAGGATAAGGGAGATGTGAGATATTTGAGGGATTGGGGGCATGGGTGGGGGGGTTCGCCTAATATCTGAGGGTTTCTTGGTATTGATTGCTTTGACGGGGGTTATGGTCTCTCTACGAGTATACGATTACCTTGTATGCCCTCCGTGTTGTAAGTCAGTCTACAGTCAGTTGCTCCAGCGTAGGAATAAAAGCCCACGAATTACATGCCTGGCTAAGCAGGAGGCACCCACTGTGAGATCCCTAGCAGCCCTGAGGTGTCAGCTCTGCATCTCTAGAATCTTGGCTTGCTACCTGTGAGCTCGCTATTATCAGCGCACAACCATGCACTCATGATCAGCATCAATGATTCACCCCGAGTGACGCCCCATGACGCCCCATCACGCCGCATCACGCCGCATCACGCCGCATCACTCGCCCCACGCACGCTAGCGCCGGAACCTCCCAGCTTGGCAAAAACTTTTTGCTTCAATCTCACCCACCGCAACCCGCCCGCCCACCGCACGCCAACACACCACCACCACCACCACCACCACCACCACCACCACCACCATCTTCACCATCGCCATCCTCACCACTCCACCACAAACACAATCCACAGAAACAAACACCCCCCCAGCATGGCCGATATCTTCCGCCTCCTCTCGCGCGGCAGCACCCTCGCCAAAGGCGCCACGGGCGGCTCCCACATCACCACAGCCCGCAGCAAACCCACCACCACCACCACCGCACCCAAGAAGCGTTCCCGCGAGCAGGACGACCTGTCGGTGCCCAAGGAGCTCGACTTCTTCGGCGACGCCGCAAACACGAAGAAGAAGAAGCCCAAAGTCGCGGACGCAGACGGCGACCTGTCCATGGACGACACCGACGGGGGGGAGGATGATGAGGAGGCAGAAAAGGCCAAGGATGAGGCGGCAAAGAAAGAGAATGACGGACTAGAGGTAGTCGAGGAGGACGACGACGACGCCGTAAGGAAGCTGATGTGGGCGCACAAGCTCAAATACACGCTCCTCACCGACCCCGCCGCCAACGACGACGACGACGAAGACGAAGACGGCGCGAAGAAGCCCAAAAAGAAGAAGAAGAACAAGCACGCCCAGCTGCTGATCCCGCCGCTCACGTCGTTCGCGCAGCTGCGCTCGCGCGCGCACGGGTATGCGCTCTCGCGGCGCGTGTACGAGAACATCCTGGCGCAGGGGTACGCGGCGCCGACGGAGGTGCAGATGGGCGCGCTGCCTGTGCTGATGAAGGAGCAGCAGGCGTCGGGGGGGGCGGACCTGCTGACGTGTGCGCCGACGGGGTCGGGGAAGACGCTGGCGTATGTTGTGCCGCTGCTGGACTGGATCCTGTCGGCGCGGAAGGAGGGCGGTGGTGGTGGTGGTGGTGAGCGCGGGGTGCGCGCGGTGGTGCTGGCGCCGACGAAGGAGCTGGCGGCGCAGATTGTCAATGAGGTGCGGAAGCTGTCTGTGGGGACGGGCGTGCGCGTGTCGCTGATGCGCAAGGGGATGGCGGGGACGTCGGCGAAGGGCGAGGAGGCGGGCATCAGTGTGAAGAGCGACATCTTGGTGTCCACGCCGCTGCTGCTGCTGCATGCCATTGGGGCCGAGGAGAAGAAGGAGGAGGAGGAAGGGGGGGGGAAGAGGGGCGAGTTTGCGGGCGTCCGGAGGCTGGTGCTGGATGAGGCCGATGTGCTCCTGGATGAGCTGTTCCGCGACCAGACGCTGGGCATCTGGCGGGCGCTGAAGGAGGGCGCGGAGAAGGATGGCGGGCTGAGGACGAGCCTGTGGAGCGCCACCATCAGCAGTGGGACGGAGGAGATTGCGCGCAGCATGATGCTCCCCTCCTCCAGCGCCCCCCCCGCGGCCCCCACCACAACCCTCGACGAGCCCACCGCCGCCTCTCCAAAGCCCAAAAAGTCCAAAAAGTCCAAGAAGACCCCCGAAACCGCTCCTGAGCCACCAGCACCCGCGCCCGCGCCCGCTCCCACCGCGACAATCCTCCGCCTGATCGTCGGCGTGAAAGACACCTCCCTCCCCACCGTCAAGCAAACACTCCTCTACACCGCCACCGAGCCCGGCAAGCTCCTCGCCCTGCGCCAGCTCTTCACCACCCGCTTCGTGCCGCCCGCGCTCCTCTTCGTGCAGAGCATCCCGCGCGCGCAGGCGCTCTACAACGAGATCCAGTACGACCTGCCGACGCCGGGGCGCATCGCCGTGCTGCACGCCTCGCTCACCGACACGGCGCGCGAGGACGTCATGGGCCGCTTCCGCCGCGGCGACGTCTGGGTGCTCATCACGACGGACCTGCTTGCGCGCGGCGTCGACTTCAAGGGCGTGCGGCTGGTGGTCAACTACGACATCCCGACGACCGTGGTGGCGTATATACACCGCGTGGGGCGCACGGGGCGGGCGGGCAGGGAGGGCGGCGAGGCTGTCACGTATTATACGGAGGAGGACGTGCGCTATGTGAAGGGGATTGCGAACGTGATTGCGGTGTCGCAGGGGGAGCAGGGGAGGGGGGAGGGGAGGGTGGGGAGGTGGCTCTTGGATGCGCTGCCGAAGGTGGGGAGGAGGGAGAGGAGGGAGCTGAAGAGGAAGGGCGTCAAGGCGAGGGCGGGGACGGAGGCGAAGGGGGCTGCGAGGATCAGTACGAAGAGCGGGTATGAGAGGCAGAGGATGGACAGGAAGAGGGGCGCGGTGGAGGCGAGTAAGCGGAGGGCTGCTGCAGAGGCGGCGAAGGGGGGGGAGAGCGGCGGGGAGAGTGGGGGGGAGGAGGAGGAGGAGTTTATGGGCATTGAGGAGTAGTTGCCCCCCCCCTCTTTGCCCCCCTAGATTCTCTTCTTTTTTATTTTATTTTTCTGTTGCTTCCCTGTATATCCCTTTTTAGATGGTGGATAGTGTGGTGTTCTGCATGCTGTATATTAATCCAAAAGTTGCTTCTTCTTGTATTAATTGTTCAAAGTTTGTAAATCATTTTGCTCGTGAAGTAAAGTCTCCAAGCCTGCTGTAACCTCTGGCTAGGCCGGTCGTGCGTAAAATTCCCAATATCACATGTTGGAGGATGGCCTGCCATTCCAAAGTAGACCTAGGACCCTTTCGTTGGGCATCCAATACATCACGGGATGCGTGGTCCAGAGTCCGTGTATCGCATCTTAGAATACTCCAGTCTGCGCCTGATTGCGAGCTATCTATGATAGCAACGCAGAGACTTGGCCCCCCTATGGGAATTCTTCTGCAATCCGTTGGACATATGTAACCTACTAGAGTCCATAGTGCATCTCCAGTATATGTGCTTTCTGCGCTTGGTGATGGACTATCTGTGATATATAGCTGCGCAGAGACCAGACCTACCTATGGGCATGCATCTAATATGTACTACGATGCAGTCTTTTCGCCAGCGCACCCCACCAAAAAATCAATGATGCTGGATTAAAAAGGACATATAATTAAGTAATAAATCTAATTAAATAGCCACGCCGCAAAAATCAATGATACCCAATGATACTGACGGAACTCTGTATCTGCGGCGCACATAATAAAAATTTAAAAAGGCCTATATAATTAAATAATAAATCTAATTAAATAATCTAACACGAAGCAGTGGAGGAGGGTGAGAGCAGTTGGGGGAAGGGGAGGGGGGTAGAGGGCAGCGGTGGAGGGGGAGGTGGAGGAGCAGTGGGGGGGGGGGGGGTAGAGGAAGTGCGTGGAGGAGGTAGACCGCGGTAGAGGACGGAAGCATGCTACCGACTCACTACTAGCGCTCATGGCGTTTTAAGGGAATTCGAAAATTATCTACCATCAACCACTTCCCGTGGCCTAAAATACAAATTAGGCATCGTGAAGCCATCTTTTTTGGTACTATTTTTTGCGTTGGCAAGGTATTCTCTCCACGGATAGAAAAATGGAGGGAAGTATACAAGTATCTATCGAATAAACCCCTCCGAGGGAACAAACAGATTCCCCCCCGGCTCTATTCGACAGAATCTCAAAGATGGTCTATTCGGCAATAGAACGAGTTTTATCGCTTACTAGAACGCGCTTATTAAATATACTTTCAACAGTATAATCATCTCCACCCTACAATTCTTCGTCCTGAGGGCATCTCCTAGCCAAATGCACGCGAAGACAGGAGGCGAGTGATAGTCCATGATTTAAAAGAGTGACACCACAAAATGAAAAGTAAATATATACGTATATACATGGATATTAAGAAGTGAATAACATGTATGCATGTGTACTTCTCATCGGGTAAGCTCTGAACTCCCAATAACTATGCTCTCCGAGGCCTACACCCCAATTCCCTCCGATCCATCAAGAACAAGAATGCCCTCTATCTATATACACATTTATATCGTTAAACATTAACTGGAAGGAGCTCGCTAGCATTTAATATCAATTAGGTGCCGATATCTATTGCGCACCTAGCGGTCAAGAATGGGCGGGCGACATTCAGGCATAGTGTTGCGATCCAGCCTCAAGATCAGATATTAGAACTCCTCTCCCATCCACCAACCGCCACGTTAGATATGCTCTAAAGCAGCTGAAGTGTCGCCCAGAGGGGCCGAGGCCGATAGTTCGAACCTCCCAGACTTGGTGGGAAAACATACACTGTGTGACTGGGTAAAAGGAGCAGAGCGGGATGCCTCTCCTTTTTTGCTGTTTTGGACATGGAATTTCCTTTTTTTTTTTTTTTTGCTCCGTTTTTGGGGGCTTTGAACGGCGCTCACGAACTCCTCGAGGGTCGTACTGACTCGTACATACATGTACTTGGTATTGTATGTACTACCCGCGCCAGACAGGCCCCAGAAAGGAAAGAAAAAAATAGTGCTGTATCTTTTGTGTTGAATCATATAGTATCACTCGCATTCGCGGTCGCTGGAGCATCACATCCTGCCGCAACAGCATCGCATCTCTGGCAATAACGTCCATTGCAAGAGGGTCAACCTGTAGCCTTTACCCCGAAGCCCACCCATTGACATATGGAATTAAAGGTCTAAAAAGACACAGTTTTTCGGTGCTCTGCAATAACAACACATGATGTAAAATTAAAACGACAGTCCGCTATGATCCAAAATAGAGATTCTACTCGAACCTTACGCTGAGAAAACAATAAAAAGAAAAAAGAAAAAAAGAACAGAAGGTTTTTTTTTTACAAAAGGTACTGACTGCAGCGTCTTATATGCGCTACTACCCCCCACCCCTGGTTTGAACCCAGGACCTTGTATTGTATAAGCTAGTGGTCTGCCCTAGCATGTTTGAGCCAGGCAGTCGAGCCGGCCATGTAGCGCATCTTGAGACGCACCAGTACACTCTGGGCTTGATGGTGAACTATCTATGATAGTAGCGCAAAGATTAGTCCTATGGGCCTCATTCCACAATCTGGTGGATTTCATACTATGTGTGATCTAGGGCCCATATAGCGCATCTTAAGATACTCCAGTACGCTCTGTGCCTGATAGTGAACTACATGTATCTATGATAGCGTCACAGAGACATGACTAAACCAGTCCTATGGGCCTTTCATTTCCTACAGGGGGGACTACCTCACCCCTGTATCTATAGGTGTGCCTCATCTATGGCGCGATAGGTCATGTCAGTAACGTCCAGTTAGCCCTTGTCCGCACCATGTTAGTAGTCCTTCTGGTACTGATGACAGTGTCTACATGTAGCTACTTGGATGTTGGGCTGTATGTTGTGTGCGTCGTGTCGTGTCAGTGCCGGGTGGTCGTTGTAGTGGCTGGCAGTGGTAGTAAGGTCACCGAGTGACACCCCATGAAGCACCATCTCGGTGGCTATTCTTCAATCCTCAAGCTAGCTTGGCAATAGGCAAAACGGTAGCAAAAAACCCAGTAAGGCATTCTACAGCTACATGTTCTTAGGCCGTTGGTGATCGAGGTCTCATTATCTTAGGTCTAGAGAGGGCTGTGGTACGGTGCTAAATGCTCGGATTCAGGAAAATTGAGAGTGATGATGAGTGGATTAAGTGGGTTGCCGCAGCTTAACTTATAGGTCTTGAAACTAGCACATATGCTTCATCGAGTCCGACCACGTAGCCGTTGAGACGTGTTTTAACACCTATTCTAAGCCCCCGTCGTCAATACACGAATGAATTATCAATCAATCAAGCAAGCAAGCAAGCAAGCAAGCCTCGCCGTCAACGACACCCCGAGATCTGATCTTGGCGCCCACTTTGGTTTGTGTTATCTAATCTTTTGATCTCACGGCCAGGCAAGATCATTGACCTCCCGCTCGAGGGGATTGACCAGTCTCTGGCAAGACCTACCTAAAATACAAACCCCCACCACACCAACAAGCCCAAACAAGCCCCAAGATCGACCCTACCAGTGCTACCACTGTCAGAAGCTAGGAGCCAACCCGCCATTTCCAACCCTTCTGAGCTATAGAATTTCACGACAGGAGGTGATTTACCAGCCCCACCATTGAAAGAGCCTGTACTTGATGCCCTCAGGAGTAGCACCCCTATACCGAGTGATAACCCATGAACCCCTCTAGCCCAGGTTCAGGTTCCGCCATGGTGTGGAGGACAATCCGCCAGGCGGAGGACATATATATATATGAAACACCTAGACTATGGTACAGGAGAATAACGCTACATAACCTATACATGTAGGGTTGGGAGGTCCGCCGGTTTCGGGGCAATGCTGGGCCGACTGGTATCGACACCACCGCCTACTGTGAAAGCGGATCGGGTCAGTGGCCGGCATCTGTGGGTTGAGAAAATAAATAGGGAAGAGAAGTCATTACTCTATATAATATATATGCTCAACAAGCGTCTACCAGAGTAGAATTGGGGGCATTCCCCTATTACAACCGATCGATGGATTCAAACACCTAATTATACTAAATAAGGGCGGAAAGAATAGGACCAACAACATTGTATATGAATCAGAGCTAGGCCGCTCATGAGACTTTTTTGGCTGACTCCCGAATAGGTAGTATCAATACAGGTATTTGCAAATCTTCAATCATAAAATACCAAAAAGCAAATTCATCAATAGCCCAAAAAGAAAAGACTCGAAACCTGGCCCAATGTTGCATACCCGGTATATCTGTATAATTATCAGATGTTCATGCCAGAGATTTTACAGCGGTTACATTCAATCTGACTGGATATGGGTAACGTTCATTCCAGAAAAGCAACTCACAGCAAAAATCAAAATCACAATCGCTTCACAAACCCAAAGAGCAAGTAAAATCCTAAAAACAATAACAGTCTATCCCGAGACCCGCAAACTTTTAATTATACCTATGGAGCTAGTATATACACTTCTACCCCCAGTACCCTACCCACCCATTACTTAAACTTGACACTCTTGACCAAGTTCTTCTTAATACCCGTCATCTCACCGCCATAGCTCCCCTGCAGCCCGCCCTTATACACCGCCTTCTTACTGCCCAACTTCTTCTTCGCCGCCTCATACTTCTTCCTCTTCTTGACCCTCGGATTCCTCACATCCTTCTTCCGATGCGGCGTCAGCCCCTTATTCTTCTCAATCACATACCCAACCGCCCTCTTCCCATCCGCCGCCACCTCCTCCACAACCCTCACCTCCCCACCGACCTTCTCCGCCTCATGCCACGCCTGCTTCTGCGCCTTCTTCTGCCTCGCCTTTCCCGCCAGCATATCATAATACTCATTATCGCTGCCCTCCTCCTGCTCGCGCATCTGCTTCGCAACACGCACATCCTCCTCGTCCGGCTCCCCATCGCTGAGGTCCGCGCCGTCGTTCCGGCGGCGCGCCGCCTCAGCGGCCAGCCGCAGCTCCTTCTCCTTCCTGCGCTCG